AAAAAAAAAAAAAAAAAAAAAAAAAAAAAAAAAAAAAAAAAAAAAAAAAAAAAAAAAAAAAAAAAAAAAGCAAATCAATACAATCTGAACCCATTAATAATGAGAGCAATGATGAAATGTTGGTAGAGTACATAATTCAGCCCATACACTCACATGTCACAAACCCAATAAGAATTGAAAAAAAGAAAAAGGAGAAAAAAAAAAAAAAATTGACAAGCGCGTACAGCCTTGCCCGAAGAACAAGGCCATTAAGTATATGTAACTCATCTCACCTCACCTCATTTGCGTATAACAAATATCAAATCACGTCGAATCAAGGCGTCCTTCCCCTCAACACCTCCGCCCCGCCACTCCTCATTTCCTCCAATTTCCTCGTCAGATCAGCAGACTGCTCCTCCACGACCTCATTCCTCCGAGCGATTTCCGCTTCAAACAACGCCGCCGTTTTGCGTCTTGCATGGCGTAGATCTTTCATCTTCGAGAGGGCGTCACTGAATTGGTCGATTAGGAGATCACCGTAATCTTCCCATTCGTTCATGGTAAGGGTGGAGAAGAAGTCGCGGCGGTCTTTGTCTTCCGAGTTCATTAGGAAATCTATTTTCTCGTCGGAAGTGGCGTTAGGGCCTGGGGTTGGGGCTGGCGTGGTGGTTTTGACGGGTGCAGTTGCTGTTGCGGTTGGGGTGTGGTCGAAGGGTTCAGATTGGAGGTCCTTGAAGGATTTTTGGCGCAGGATTTCGGGTGGATAGTCGGATTCGAGGTTTCGTCTTTTGTTTTGGCTGCTACTGCTGGTTATGGTGCTCTTGTTGGGTTGGAAGTCGGGGTCTGAGACGATGCGTTGGACGGAGTTGCGGCGCGCGAACGGGTCGTTGATTGGGTCGTTGTCATCGTCGACATCTAGGTCGTCGATGTTGGTCATGTCGAAGGTGCTTAGGGGTGGTAGGCTGTCGCGGCTGGTGTTGAAGAGGTGATTGTCGTCAGAGTTGTGGCGGTGGTGTTGGTGGGTGGTGGTGCTCGTGATTCCTGGTTCTTTGCCGGGTTGGGGTCGAGGTCCTGAGGTCCGACGAGTTGGGGTTATGTCCAACTGTTCTAGGAGGGATGGTTTGGGGGGACTGAATCGTGTCCGTGGGGTTGCTGTCATGCTGCGTGGCAGTGTGACTTTCCTGTTGGGTAGAGCCTGTTTTGATAACCTGGCGTCGGATGTGGATTGCCGCAGAAGAGGAGGGGCAGCAGCAGCAGCAGTCTTCGATGGTTCTTGGTATGCTTGTGGTTCTGGATTCTGATAAGATCTCCTGCTGGCGCTCCAGAAGCTCTGTAGTCGTTTGCTTAATGGTTCCTCGGTGGAGGACCTGTATCTGCGGGCGTAGTTTGCGTCCTCAGTTGTATCAGATCGCTCATCGTCTCCAGCCATGGAAGTCAATTGACTTGCATCATCGGCCTCTTCTGAATCGAAACCAGCTGATTTCATAGCCTTGTCTCCGAAATTCTCGTACCACTTGCCATCGTAAGCACGGCGTGGCAATCGAGACGCATGCAGTGGCCTCTCATCCACTACTGGCGCTGCCTCTTGATATTGAGGAACCGTGGCGGGTCGTAATTGGAATTGCAGCGGAGCATCCTCTGCGCCCATGACACTTGTCGCAGCGATAGTCGACTCGTCGATGCCTTCTACATCGGTGTCAAACATATCTCTATGCACGCCATTTTCCGCGGGCGCCTGAGGCATCTGCTCGCTAAATGCCGGTGTTGAATAATGCTCCAGGGGAATTGATTTATTGATTGGCAGAGGCACTGGCGCCACCAGATTCGTTGGAGGGACGTCAATCCTTGCTTGTGCGGCTACAGCCTGCCGTGACTGGTTTGAGACTTCAGTTGTGCGTGGTCGAGGCTGGCCAGCCTCTTTCGAATGCACATAATCGCCCACTCCCATGGTTACCCGAGTCTGAGCGGGGTGAGGAGAAGGAAGGGTAGTATTCAACAAACAACAAGTGGGGAAGGGGCTGACGGATATGCCAGAATGATTGTGAATGACTTGCAAATTACAATTGTTATCTAGAACGGGTGGATCCGATCATGGTTGTGAGGTTATTGAATCGCTGGCGCTGTGAGGAGGTCGAAACTGGCAAACGCGTTGATTCTTCAGGCACGCGCGAGGCATCCACACGAGGTCACGTGTGACTGATGGGCATCAATACTACCAGTTTCAACTACTCCTCAAAATCAAACTAAGTAATGAGAGAGGAGTCGATGGATTATCCTTACGGATGAGAGAGATCATAATTTGGTTTCATGTTTATTCTTGTGTTATCATTGTGTTGGTACAATAAATGCATACATCTTCGCATGATCATGTCACGTTAATCCGCATACCCAAATGAAGCATCATCATCTATATGCAGGTCCCCAAACGTAGAGGTGACCCCCTTGCCACGCTGTTTGGCTTTGTCAAAGTAATCCTGCGATTTTTGGACCTCATATTCCTTCCTCTCAACTGCAAGACGGCGTTCTCGCCGCTCTTGAAGTGAGTCTTGGAGATCTTCCGCGGATGACGAACCGGTCTCATCCGAATCATAATCATCCAGATCTCCCTCTGTCCGCGCATATGGCAGTGATGAGACGAAGAGATCAGCGATCCAGAGAGATATCATTCCGCGGAGCTCCAGCAAATCCGGGGAGTCGGAGTACGGAGGGGATCCGAGAATCTCGTCCATCCTAGCTGCAATCTTCTGGGCCTGTTCCAGTTCACTCTTCCTAACACTGGCAATCATCGCATGCGTATTCTGTCGTGAGCTAGAATGGTGTTGCATATCGGGCGCAGAATCTTCTTCTTCCGAGTCATCAGGGGAAGCACCATGGGCGTCCCATATTTTTTGTCGAGAAACGTTGCTCTCCTCTTGGGTGACATACACCCATAGTCCAAACATGGCAGGATAGAAGTGTAAAGAGCTTATAGCGTCAGGTGCAGCTTTTCGGTATGGATGCTGAATGATGAGCGTCTCGTAATACTGTTTGGCCTTTTCAAACCCCTGCCTTGTGAATAATAATTTGGAAGACGGTGCCTCAGACGGCTCTGCCTCACTTTCCTGCGCATTATCAGGAGTCATGTCCGAGACCTGACAGTCACGTCGAAGCAGGATTTCTGCACCAATTCCCCATCTCCCTTCAGTGCGAACGTCGATTGGGGTGCCCCCAACTTCTTCACGGAGGATTAACCCCCAGGCCCTGCCCGCTCGAACGAAGTCTTTCTGAAGTAGGCAACGGTGCAAGATGGAGGATAGCACAGCCAGATGCTGAAGACGAAGATTCCCTTGATGAGCTGCAGACTGAGGAGGATAAATGGGAGACGACAATGACGTCAATTCTTTCAGGACCTGATTTCGTGTCTGCCGACGGGTCGGTTGATCTTTAACCGGGGCATGTGGGAAATTGCCCCCGGGCAGTTCTTGGTCAAAGGAAAGGCCAGCAATGCGATATTGGTGGGCTTCATCCGGGGAGAGGATGAGTGACGGACCAGAAGCAGCTGCCTCTGATGCCGCATCTGTTGTGTCGCCATCGACATCGTCATTATCGTCCCCCCAGTCGTTGAGATCCTTCTTGCGCTTCCTAGGCTCGTACTGAGCCACGCGCACACTAGAAGGTTGTTGCCATGGGGCCAGGGGCAAAGAAAAGACAGACGCTGCAGGAACAGATGCCATAGAGGCACGGATGATTAAAATGCCGACAGCCTATTCCAGAAGAGGACGACTATTGAGGTACGGGGGAGGTCCCGTGGGCCTTGACAGCAGGGATCACCACATGAAAGGTGATGGGGACGAGTAGCTTGAGCGTATTCACTGTCTTGTTTATAGGAACGACATCCGCTAGTACTCTATCAGTACTCTGTATCACTGACGATCATCGATCGAAAAGAATGGATAGAATCGGAAGTAATGTAGGCCCGCAGTACATGTCTAGAGAAGTCCAAAAATGGGAGCAGATGCACAAAGACACCTGAGGCAATAAACTCGAGCCTTGTTGTCCAATCAGCAGTGCCACAAATCATGCCGCCTGGAACACGTTGGGCGCTAGTCCATTTGTAGAGAATACTAGATCGGCATCCAGGAGGGCGAAACCGCCGAAACCGCCGGGCCACTAAGCCGTTTCAGTGACAGTTGGAGTCACAAGCAAGATCGCCTTAAAGATTAAGGCCAATCAGAAGCTAATGTGCAAGACCCCCCGTGAAGGGACTAGGCCGAGATGGGACGGACTGTAGGTCAAGTAAGCAAAACCAAGCCAAGCCGAAACCAAAACCAAAACCGCCCGACCAGCAGCCAAACCGAAACCAACTGTTATCATTCATCATCTCCTCTCCATCATCGTCATCTCCCTCATCCTCGGGGCGCTCCCTTCGTGCTCTATCATCTCTCAGAGCCCCCCAGGGCTTCTCTTCACTTCTTAATATTTCTCTCACCCTGGCATTCACGTTCATTGGCGGACAACTCTCTCGCCAACAACTCCCATACTTACCCGTCTCTAAGCTGCAATAACTACGGTAGCCTCCGGTTAAGTCGTGGGGTCGCTTCCCCCCGAATGTCGTACGGCATTTAATCCCACTACACGTCCTTCCCTTTGTGGCTCCCTTAAATAGGAATCGGCACCTGCTGGCTGGCCTCCAGATAGTTTCCCACGCCTTTTAGGACTTTCTTAGCCGGGGTAATTGCTCTTCTTCACCCTGCCGACCTCTCAGTTCCGCCTTTGCCCAACGCTCGTTCGCAGCCGCCTGGACTCCGAACGGCCTACCAACACGGTGCGATCAGGCACGTTCACTTCCCAACGCCCGCCTGCAGTAACACATCTGGACCGTGAATTGCAGACCGAGAACCATAATTTCGCCCAAGGATTGAATCTATGTCATTTCACTGAAGACTGCCCAATGGTACGTACTGCCTGAAACTATCAGGATCAATTCCAGGGTCCTCAGGAGTCGGGACCCTTCTTAGTGGCGTTGCCTGAGTGTATTGCCTGCAAGAGCTGTCTTATCGGCCACCACTTCACTACTTGTTCCTGGTCGCGATTTCCCTGCCTTCACTTCTGCCCATCGGACTGTGCCTGAAGTGAGTCACTGCTGTGTCTGCCATCTTACTAATGCTGGTTGTACCTTTAGTCATCCACCGTTCGATGGCAATAGGCGGCTTATAGACTCCCATCGCCACGTCCTTGCGTTATTGTTACTATGGGACAGTCTTCCTCTACGCAACGAAATCGTCGTCACAGTACCCCTCCAGAGCACTTTCCCACTTTCCACGCGATCCGTGTCCGCAGAAACAGGGATGAAGCAATGAATAACAGCTACAACACGGAGCAGACTGGGGAACACCAACCCCGGTCGGGAACAGAGACAGACCATGACAACACTCCAACAGCTTCAGGAGCCCCCGTTCATCTCGATCCTTCTGCCGAGATATGGCATCCCAATATCTCAGGTGACGAACAACGACATATGAGAACAATACAAGAGGAGAACGACGCGCAATATGAGCCGGGCCAGCGGGAATATCGCTCGGACATCTTTGCCCGAATGGCTGCAAGAAGACAGTCAACCATGTCGCGATTGGGTTCCAGGATCCTTCCTAATTCGGTGATCCGTGGCTTGCTGAGCAGCGAAGAAGAAACACCAGCAGAAGGCCACGCCCATCGCCATGGTATCGTGTCAAGGTCGATTCCAAGATCGGAAGCCACGCATACCAGCGCTCGTTTCAGCCCGTTCAATTCCCTCAGCTCGAGAAGCGTCTCTAGGCGACGCTCTTTACGTGGGCCGTACTTCATCCCACGCAATGAACCAACGCTCTCGTCAGATCCCGCTCGTTCCGGCTCATTCCTCGACCCTACCACGGAGATCGCTCCAGAACCTACGCGAAGCTCATGGCGCCGCAGTGCTCGGCTGCATCGTGTCCGGAATTCTCTGTCAGGACCCATTGGCCACATGTTCGGCCAATCTTTCCCGAACGCATCGGCTCAAGAATCAGGACCAATCCCACAACCACCCCTGGATCCAGTCTCTAGTGAGGACACTGACGGCTTTCTTCCTTATACAAGGTCAATGGATAGCCAGATGGACTTCGATGAGCCCCATGAGCTTGATTCGGTGGAACCTGCTGTAGGCAGTACTCGTCCTACCTCGCCCATGTCATCGCAGTCTGCACAAGGCCCACCTGGCTTACGGCAACTCCCGGGATTGCTGCGAGCAAGACCGTCTCGAGCTATGCGTCGAGAGGAACAGACTCCTTTGTCGCGTGTCCTTCAGCTGGCCGCTGCCGCCATTGCCGCTCAACTTTCTGGCACAGCTGGTCCCGTAATGCCCAACATCCAGGCTCTGGGCAATGATGGCCTTGATGGTTCGTTGGATAATTTCATACAGAGCTTACAGCACGCCACGTCCACCCAGACGGCTCCCAACGAGGGAGAGAGTGCGGCAGGCGATAACAGTCCTCCGACTCCGGTTAATTTCCTCAGAGTCTTCCGCTTTGCCAATTCTGACGGTACTCGACCCGGTGGTCCATTGAATCGTCCAACGGCAAACGCTGAGAACACCGACAGCAACGGCAACGGAATGGATGTGGACAACCCTACTGATGGACCTGAGGGACGTACTGTTACTCTCGTGGTGGTTGGAGTACGATCGGTCCCTTCTGGAAATGGGCCTAGCGGCGATCAGCCAGCTAATCCAGGAACTGGACTGGATGCCTTGCTTCGCTTGCCGTTCCTAACGCCGGGGAGTCTAGCACGCAATCACGAGAACGGCGCTGGCTTTCCACCACGTCCAGATGGGCGGCCCAGGCTTCCGCCTATCCGGCTCCAGGGCGAGCAGCATCCTAGCGGGCTTCCCACGGGTAGTGACGTTTCTTCACAAGGAGGACCAACCCCACTGCGGCGGCTGTCTGACGCGGGCACCCGAGTCCCATTAGGCTCACTGTCTGCAGCCCCTTCGGTGCTTTCGGAAAGCCCTCCAGGCCCCCATCCCCCTCCTTCGACGCCAGCCGAGCCGGGATTATCGGCCGTGTCATCTAGCGCGTCCACTCCTAGTCGGAGACCTTCGACTGCTTCGGCCATGTCACCAAGTACCCTACCCCCCATTGACACCAATCGACCGATGCAGCCCACCGTTGAGCCTACTGAAGACGGTATCCCCCCGAATACGCGCCAGCGACGTCGCAGTGATTCGGAATATGCGCGCCATCGTGACCTAGGGTCTGGTGCCGTCAGGCGTAACGGCGTTGTGGAACCTGACAATGCTGCACCCCCTACCGGAAGAAGCTGGCTGATCTACGTTGTCGGAACCAATCTTTCAGAGAATCACCCTGCCTTTGCAACGCCAAGTCTGTTCACTGATGTAAGAAATCCCAAGTCTAAAATTTTTTTCCTCCCCAGCCTCTTTCTCTGGTTGGTACGTTTTTGTGGCTAATAGGGTCTTTAGAATCCAACGTACGAAGACATGATCTTGCTCTCATCTCTGCTCGGGCCTGTCAAGCCACCTGTTGCGACCCAGGAAGATCTCTCTACGGCCGGTGGACTGTTCCGCCTTGTAGAGTATGCCGGCTCGCTAGTTGCAGAAGCTTTGGAAGGTGCTGGCGCCATCCAACTTCCCGAAGGCGAGCGGTGCTTGATTTGTCTCAGTGACTACGAGGCGGCAGAGGAGCTTCGGCAACTGACCAAGTGCAAGCATCTTTTCCACCGGGATTGCATTGATCAGGTTTGTGCATATCTCTCCCGCGGATGTTTTGGCACTCAACTGACATTATGCTAGTGGTTGACCACGGGCCGTAATTCATGCCCACTTTGCCGAGGCCAGGGTGTGGCTGAGACGTCGAATAACCAACCCACTCCAGATGCACCTAGCGCAGCAGCAGCGTAACTATGTGGACATGCGCCACGCTAGTTATTCTCTTTCGATTCATCATCTTTCTACATAAACTTGACTTATTTGAAGCTTAGCATGAAGCGTCTTATCTCATACCCTAACGAACGTCTTTTACTTGTTTATTTCCCACACTACGGATGGCAGGCACGGCGAATCTCTTTCTGTTTCTTGTTGTCTTAAGCAAGTGGTCTTTTCTGGTCATGGCCCGTGGAAGATGGGTTCTCAAGGAACTCTAACAGCTGACGCGTGAGGCAATGCTAGAGTGGTTGCAATTCTGTGGCTCACCGCAATCTGCCCTACTTACAGGACCTACATGAGTCCATGATATCTGGTTCCTGTGACAAAACTTCAGTCTTTGAGTTCTCGTCTACTGGTCTCATCCCTTTTGTATTATTCCCCTCTCTGGTTGAGCTACGGCTCTTGGGCGATTGCGCATTGGTAGCAGGGGTTTCTGGGCCAGGCAGTCACGGGAATAGCAGTTAATTTGGTACATATTAGTTGAATACAGCCTGTTATTGAAAGTGAAAGATATCTATCTGTTGTTAAATTCTGAGTAAAGACCAGACATGAGCTTGGGCCAACAAAACGCCGACTTGTACTGGCGGAGCGGAGCCCAACCCCGGCGAGAGTCCCGCATCTCCGCCCCTCGGCTGACTCAGCCCACCGCAGCTCATCACCCCGCGTCTCCTGCCATCCACTGGCTCATTACGCACTTGGGATGTGCTTTGAAGTCTGATTCTCGTAGGCCTAAACTCCGCGCCATTGGTAAGACACCCTGAGTGCCTGATGCGCGAAATTTACCCCTCACCGTGGGATCAATTGGGTGAAGCTTGCTGATCCTCTACAGCTAGGGAAAAACAAAAGAACCCACTCCAGAAATTTTCCGACCTACCCCGCTACAAGACCAGAACACCACCGATCCTAGTCCCTCAATCCTTTTCCAAAATAACGCCCCCCTCTCCCAATCAACAGAAAGAACAAAAATATTAGAAAGGCCAATATGGACACACCCGTGCGCCTTACCGTTCTCATATCCGGCAATGGCTCCAACCTCCAAGCAGTGATAGACAAGACGCAGCAAGGACAACTCTCGACGCAGATCGTGCGCGTCATCTCCAATCGCCAGAATGCGTATGGTCTCGAGCGGGCTCGACAGGCCAACATCCCCACGCAATACCACAACTTGGTGAAATATAAGAAACAGCACCCTGCTACACCGGAGGGCATCCAGGCGGCGCGGGAAGAATACGACGCCGAATTGGCCCGATTGGTACTGGCTGATAAGCCGGAAATGGTGGCTTGTTTGGGATTCATGCATGTTTTGTCTCCGAGGTTCTTGGAGCCGTTGGAGGAAGCTAAGATTAATATCATTAATCTGCATCCGGCTTTGCCCGGAGCGTTTAATGGGGCGGTATGTTTATTGTTTGTTTTCTTACGTCCTTCTCTTTTAACTTGTGCCTCTAAAATTCATCCGTGGGCAAGAAGAAATCATGCTGACGTAATTCTGGGATGGGTGGGTGAAATAGAACGCTATCGAGCGTGCGCATGCTGCTTGGTTGGAAGGGAAGATCGATAAGACGGGTGTTATGATTCATAAGGTCATTTCGGAGGTGGATATGGGGCAGCCCATTTTGGTCAGAGAAATTCCGTTTGTGAAGGGGGAGGATGAAGATCTGCATAAATTTGAGCAGAAGGTGCATGAGGTCGAGTGGGGAGTGGTTATTGAGGGGGTGAAGCTTACGATCCAGGAGGTTAAGGAGGGAAGGTAGACTTTATTGCTATTACGTGGGCGAGTGTGGCTGGTGGATCAGTGTTTCTGGCTATGAGTGATGATTGTTACTAACTATTGGGGTCTAAGATACCATATACTACTACGAAATAAACTGAGGCATATAATGTCCCACTGGGAGTCGATGAACACTACTACTAAATGCTTCTCCAGTGATGGACACGCGCTCTTCATACGAGGACATTTGACGTTTGACATTCCTCATATGGTTGTTGGGACGGAGTTTAACCTCTTCTGGGAACCACCCTTGGATGAAGAGACTGATGATGAATGGCTAGACCCTCCGACGCCGTCTCTGCTTTAATATATTGGTACTATAGTCACGTATACTAGAGAGTAGTAGTACGTATTGAACACGCAGATACGAAATTGAGTGGCTCCAATATGGAGACTACAAAGTTAACTTCCCCTCTTGCCATGTGACTGCTGGCTAACAAATCCTAATCTAAACCGGTTGAGGGCACGATCATAGCTGTGCGCTAGGAATTGATTGACGTGTTTGATTTCCGCACAGTCATGCTACCCAGTAGTACTGTGCTACTAGTAGTAGATAGGCAAATTAGTACTTCTGCCAGGGTGGCGGGGCTCTGTGCTAGTGAACCAAGGCTGAAGGGGGAACACATTAGTACTTTCCTTACTGAACGAGGCAGCTCAAATGAGGAGGAATTGCCTCCTGAGGCACTCGGGCAGAAGGGACAAGGCCTCAGGCTGCACACAAAGCATGCGCTTGGGCCCAGCAGGAAACACACCGGCAGCTCCAAGCACTAGAACCAGAGTTCTCCTACCTGCTCATCATCGAGATTGGCCCAACAAGTTAGAGATCGTCTGGTTGACGCCCCCCAGAGGAGATTAAATCCTTACTCTAAGGAAGGTCATGCCATGCCTTGGTCTCCGCCTGGCTGCTCTCCCCACTTTCCGATCCCTTCCTCTTCCTCTCCCTCAAGGTTCCAGTGCCAATTGATGCTAGTTTCAAGCTCATCTCTTGTTTCACAGAGAGGTTCACTTGGCATGGCTGGCTGCTACTGACCATGCTTGGATGTCTTGCAATGTTGGACTCTGGCCTGCACATCTCAGCAAAATGGAGCTTCAACATGTCCCACTGACTCTGTACCCTCTGGTCCACAGTTACTACACTCGACACGAGTTCACCTCCAATGGCACGTCACGGCGGTGGCCTCCGACGGATGAAACCTTCCCCTCCCCTAATGCACTCCTCAGCTAATTTTCTCGCGTTGATAGGCCAGCGTAAGGATCCAACGGCTGATGTGCATCACGGCTTTTCCGTCCCCCCCGAAGACAAAGTGCTTTTGCGGTGGCCCTTGCTAAGTGTGTACCCACGTACACTATCTATGCTAGGGTAACATCTTAAGTGGGCTCGAAAATTAACGTCTAATATCCTGCGTTGGGAAGGTATGCGCGCCGGCTCCACTTGGATGACAATGATATGGTGATAGAACAACGCTGGACGGATCGTGGCTCGGCACTTCTACTGGTGGCCACCGTGCTATTAGCAACACGGAATCCTTTCCCTTTGCCCTTATTCGCCCCATTCACAGCATAGCTTCACCGGGGCCCAATCTTGCTTGATACCTGGTTGACTTCCGGCCTGCGGCCCGGATCATAGCACGTACTCGTATTCTTCTGGTGGCTCTTGCGTTTCTCGTTGCGCTGCCATGGCTCTCGACCACCGGAAAGGCAAGAAAGAGGATAATGGGAGAGATAACATTAATGTTATGATCCGCAGAATCTAGATCTACTTCCCAAGCAGCAATCATCAAGTGGAAGCCATCGCATTTTCAGGCCTTTCCGCGTGATCTGATATCCGCTGTGCCCCATTAAAGACCCCGTTCGAAACGGTCACTGATCGATAACTTATGGGTGAGTGCCAAAGGTCCAGAAATTGTTCAGCGGAAATCCCGAGGGTAACTTGTGGTGGATCTGTCTGCTATTACAAAGTACTGGTTGATTGGGTCCCTGGGTAACTGGAGATCCCCGACTATGTTCCCCGAACACTAGTAAGCCCGCGGCAACAAGTCATTCACAATGCCCGTGGTGTCCTCCACTCCTTTACTCTCGAAACCTGTGCAGTCAGATTCTGTGCAGGCTTGGATTGGCCAATAGCCGCATACCTTTCACCATGCATACAAGACCGGATAAAGAAGAACAGACAATAATATGGAAGATCACTCTATTCATAGTCTATTGATCAACAAGAGCACCCAAATTTCTTTCAGGATGGAGTAAAAGGGCAATAGTGCCTATTCTCCGTTTCCAAAGAACTGCAGGGATCGTCCCGGTGGACCAGGTAGCCCAGATATTACCTAGTTTGCGCGGCCTATGAGCAGTCACCATATGGGCCTCATTTACTCAATCCCAGGTGGTTGATTGACTACCCACAGCTTCTCTCCACGGACGGAGCAGTTGGTCATCCGCACCTCCGTTGTCCTAGCCGCCTGAGGCTCCGAGACTTCCAGAAAGGTAGGGTCAATTTCCATTGTCTCCGTGATTGGCCTTGATGGAAGAAAGATCATGGCCAGATGGTCTATGCCGGGTCCGCATGGAAAGGGGAACAGTCCGTTTCTGGCACACTTGAAGAAGCAAACATACCGTCCACATGGAGGCACCCACATCTTCTCCGGACGCCTGCCTACTTTGAGAAGGGTGCATTATTATCTTTGGTCCACAGTTCGTGGTGGTTACCTGTTTAATCATGGATATGGTGGATGGGGACAACGTGCGACCGTCGGCACCAGTTCTCAGCAAACCTTACTTTCTCTCTGCCACGTTTCCAGCGGCGAACCAAATCCAGGTACCGACCGGCCGACAGTATGCAAAGATTTCTCTTCTCTCTATCTCTCTGCTTATATTTCATAATTATTCTTGTCCCCTTCGAAAAGAGGGCAAGCATGTAAAGAAATATCTTGTATTAGGGCAAATGTGGGCCGCAGCGATGCGTCGAAGTACGAGGCGATAAAATTGTTAGGGGACCTACGGATGAGACTAGGGCCGTCAAGAGTCGCCCAGTGCCGGTTAGATTGGTGGCCCCAGCTAGATCTGGGTGGACGGCGACCAGTCACCAGTGGAGGCCACTCAGCCTACTCAGCTGTCAAACCCTCAGTGTCGATCAGGAACATCCGACTGACCCGAATCCAATTTGCCTCCCTGGGAGGCCACGCCGTCGTGGTGGCCAATTCTTACGGCCGACGACGACGACGACGGCGACGCAAATGCGCCCATCAGTCGCCTTAGCGCGGTTTAAGTTCAATGTTTCCCAACTTGCCTTGCTGGTTGAGCGACACCATCATTGATGTCGTCCAGTCGTCCCTGCTATAGTTCACAGCGGGTGCTATAACCCCATTGCCGGTGACAGACGGGGACCCCAGAGCTGGTTCAGAGCTTTTCCGAGTGCGTGGGCGAACGAACGTCTCGGCAAATGTTTCCCAGATCGGGTGGTGTCATTGGATAGGGGCAGTTTCAGATTAGCCGAGGAGCATTCTGGCGGCTTCAAGTGGATCCCAACTGGGGCTGGCGGAGTCGCCCGTAGGAATGGGACGGCGTTAGTGGTCGCTGGCCCTTCAAAGAAGGTTTGACCGCATCCACTACAATTGCAATGACTCTTTGAGGTGAAGGAGCAAGAAGTGCAATGTTATGAACACTAATACTCTACGTGGCTGTATAAGTTTAAATTAGGTACAATGCTGTGGTTTCCGGCGTCCTCACGAGTCAAACCACCGCAGAACACTCGGGATTTGCGCAGGGATCTACCCAGCAGCATCCGCAGGCACCGTGTCCATGATTTGAACGATCAAGGCAAGCATGGCCTCACTGACTCGGAGATCGTTCACTCGGGTTTTTACCTTGTGAAGGAGCCTCTCGGAGCCGGGCGGATCCACCCACCCATGGCTCCGGATGCACCCAGACTGCTGGCCTGATTCATGACGCTGTTACAGCCTCCGAGCAGAAGGTCGGGACTAGCTTCTACTTTATTTGAGACAATGCCCTAGGCTCTATGATTGAGCGGACACCCACGGAACCATGGCTTCTACTGTCGTCGGGGAGAAGCCGTGGCTGAAGATGACGCCGTCCCCGCTTGGCGGGGAGGAAACTATTCCCTTGTCTCGTGCTCAAGCCTCTTGGCAGGAGGATGAGCTTTTTGCTGGTCCTAATCTGATCCGTGGATGGTCTGGATAGGAGGATAGTTGACTGACGACTGGGGGGGACAATGTGGCGGAATGATAGTGAGATGATCTCATGGATGGGAGGCAATCAGCTAGCCACCATCCGGCCGGCTTGTACGGTTGTATACTACAGACTGAAGTATCTTGTCGGCACCTTCCGAAACCTCCTCCGTGATGGGGATCGTAGGCTTGGGCAGGGGAAGAGAACGGAATTTTCCAACAGACGTGGATAACCCATCGATAGGTCGTGCGTGAGAGGACGATCATCGAGATCCAACGCGGCCCACTGGAGCAGTAGCAGTAGTCTACTAGTAGCAGCAGTAGGAAGTTCAGGTTGATACTCCAACCGCCAGGCCACTAGGGAGGCTTGACTCCAAACTAGGCGGGCTTGATTAATGCCGGACAGACGAATGGGACAAAATTAAGGTGAGAACCACCATGTTCTAGCGCTGGCGGGTCATCCAGATAATAGAGGAGCAACGAGACTAAGGGGAAGGATGGGAAGTTAAAGTTGTGGTGCCCTTGATTGATTGCTTGGATTGCTTTTTGGATGCATTGCCTCTTCCGGTCAGCCCCATCCCCAATCATCTCTCTCTCTCTCTCTCTCTTTCTCTCTTCCCACTCCGCTCTTCTCTTTTACATCCTATTTCTCTCTCACTTTGAGCTTCCTTCTTCTACTCTTTTCCCATTTCTCCCTTCTTGTTTATTTACTACTGTTCTGCCACCTTGTTGGTGGCTTTTAATCCCCTCTACTCTTCCTCTACCTTTCCCTCCCCTCCCTTCCGTTCGTTCTCTTTGTTTCCTGTAATTACCCGGGGTCCAACTTGTTTGCTACCAAGTGTTCCATTTTCACCAGCATATCTCTGAGTCAACATCCTCCTCCTGTTAATTCTCTCCTCCATCAGCTCTCTTTCAGTGCGTGCTGGCTATGCGGATCGGGCCTCCCCGCCATCGGTGCCCATCCATCCGGTGCTGAACGACTGCAGTCGATGCCGGCCATCTCGACCCTCTTCCGCTTGGGTTCTTCGATGCGAATCACACCATGGCACCTCCATACTCCAGTTCCCAGGCCGCCTTGACCGGCTATACTCCTTCATTCCTGTCGCTACAGGACCAGAACGCTCCTCTCTCCGCCTACTCCATCCTAGGATCCGGTCAATATCCCGATAGTGTCGCATACTGGCACAATCCATCCGCGCAACCCCAGCCGCCGCTACCTCCCGCCGCCGTCGCCGCCTCCTATCCGTCCGTGCCCCCGAAGGCCCAGTCGCTCCTCCAGCCCACCTCCGATCAGAAGAAGCATAAGCGTACTCGCAGTGGCTGTTTCACCTGTCGATCCCGTCGCATCAAGTGCGACGAAGCACGTCCCGTCTGCGACAGATGTCGGAAGGGCAACCGCGACTGCGTCTATCCGTCAGCCACAGGTGCATCCAAGTCAGGAACCCGTAGCGTGTCCAAGCCCAGAGGATCACTGTTGCGTGGAAATGAGTCTTCCGCTCACCCGGGATCCGAGGACTTCCGCGTCTTGGAGCCCATCGCCGACGAGGATGAGGATGGAACTAGTGTCGGGTCAAGTACCCGACTGTCCCCAACAGCCGCACCCACATGGTCCAAACCCAACCTCCCCAGAAGACAAAGTGGTCAGTCTTTGAAGCAGCAGGGTGGGAGGCATGTTGTTGCGACCGACTTGGGTGGTACACGGATTGAGAATAGTAACTCGCCGTCCCCGTCCTCGGATACGTCATCTAGATACGACTCGCTAAGCGCTCGGTCGGCCAGTGTTGGTGTCACCCTGCCCGAACCATATGGATCCACTCTGCCCAGTATAGCACATCTGCCCGACGACCTGCGATTTTATCTCAACTACCATCAAGAATTCATCACTTACCGTCATTATTTCTTAAAACCGGTCAATGACCGGTTTGTCCATCAGAGTATCATTGAGCTGGCGTTGCAGTATGATCCCCTGCTGTATGCCGTGGTGGGCTTTTCCGCATATCATCATTGTGTTCAAAACAACAGTGGGAAACTATACACCTTTTTGAAATATTACAACTTCGCGTTGAAGCTCCTGCGCAAGTCCTTGGGCTCGGGTGAGCCGCATAATGAGGCGACTCTGATCACGGTGCTTGTCCTCACCACATTCGAGGTAAGACATTCAGCCAATTTTTATGCTTCTTGCAAATGAACCATACTGACTCGCCAGGAATCCGTCGGGGACTGGGTCAACCTCATTGGCCACCATCAGGCTGCTCACGCCTTGGTGCGGGAGATCCTAACGCCAGAGTCTGCCAACCTGAACGAGCTTCATAGCAACATCTTCGTTTGGTACGCCCGATTCGACGTGGTAGCAGGGATTTTGGCCGGAAATGAGACGATCCTAAGTCGTGATTGGTATGTTGCAAAAGAGGAGTATGATGCTCAGGAAGCCGCCCGCCATCCAAACGATGCAACGAAGCAACTGGCGCTGGCGAATTCGATCAACCGCCGGTTTGGCCTGGAAATGGCGTCGTTATATGCGAAGTTGTCGCGCGGACTGATTCCAGTTAATGAGTTCATTATTCAGAACGAGTTGTTGGGTCAGACATTGGAAAGGGTACGAACCATCCTAGAATCGTTCAACGACTCTGAATACACCGTGCGGGAGTATCCTAATCAGGTTCCCTTGACCCCGGACGACGTCGTGGATCCGTATGTTCCCGGGGGAATGCACCATGGGCCCCTGTGGGAAGTCAACATGACGTGGGTTGACTATTACTCCACCAAGGCCATGTACAAGTATCAGTCACTTCTTTCGGTCAAGCAATCATCGGTGGAAGAGTTACAATCCCTCTCGGTGGAGCTGGTCCGACTAATGGAGGCGGTTGATCGATGGCCCATGAAGGAAAGCGGATGCATCCTGGCGTTCAAGAACAGCATCGGAATGGCTGCCATGTTCTGTCCTCGCGATGAACGGTACATTATGTGGGCGCGGAGGAAGTTCGCTCAGCTGGAGCAAAGCGGGTGAGTGTTGCAAGTCAGGGAGATGTTGGAAGTCAGCTGATTGTAGTCGATCAGATACGTTATTGCGGCCACTTTCCGGGCGGCACTAGCAGCCTCGTGGCAGAAGCCCGAAGTCAATCGCTGGTGGTTGCCAGACGACGAAGGATACCCGAGCATCATCCGTGAGGTGCGAGCGATGACGGAAGAACGCACGAGCCACCCTCGAGATAACTTCGGCGAGGATGTCAGCCATATGAAGACGCTATTTTGGAACATCAGCTTGGACGACACCTCCAGCGAGGGGAGTCCCGCGTCGGTGAACACAGAAGGCCGACCATGACAGCCTGCTGTACAACTGCAGCTGGTTGCACAACAGATGCAACATGCTTCATCTGTGCATAACGAACCGAGTATATACATACAATCACACCCAACCAAGTACAGCCCTGGATATTCCAGTAATGAATCCAACGATGATCCATACCCTCCTCCACCACCCGGTCACGCATGGTCGCCGCTACGCCCTAATGAATAATCTCTGGTTATCTGATGACCCAACCCACATTCGTTTGCTCTCTCACGGTGACATGCGTGACCGGAACGAATATTGATACCCGGATACCAAACGAGGATTTACCTGGAGTAAGGAGATTGGATGGACGATCTGTCTACTTATTTACGTACCTACATACATACATACCCATTGGATCATACCTATGCGCTAGATACCCAATATACGGTCTACACACAAACATTATACAGAACAATGAACTCATCCACTATACGTATCCACTTTAAGAACCAAACCTAGAACCATCCCGATCTCTATCTAGATAATCCAACTCTCCCCGGCACCTCAACAGCAGGCACCACCGTCTCCAAACCCCCCCTCAACTCCCCAACACCATCTCCAACTCCCACCCCCATCTCCTCCCCCCACGGCAACCCATCCACATCCACCTCCCAGCCCAGCAAACACCTCAACACCACCCCCGCCCCAGCCTTACTCATCACCTCATTCATCTCCTTACACCGCTCATCACAACAACACTCCAAACACCCCTGCGGCATCACACACCCACACGCCTCGATCCGCCTCACAGCCCTTTCCAACAACACATCCACAAACTCAAACGCCTTAGCCGCAATCCCCGACCCACACGCTCCCCCCTTGGCATCGTAGAACGTCAATCTCGCGGGCCGCTGTCTCGCAGGGGGCTGTAGAATCTTCTGCAACTTTTCCTTCTTCTGCTTATTATCCAGCCCACCTACCCCTCCTGCCTCTTGCACAGCCATTTGTAACTTCCTCCCCAACTCTTTCTTCGCAACCTTACATTCCGTGCGCACGTCCCCGGGCGAAGATACCACAAAAGTTGGTAAGAGTGATAAGATCGCGTGCTCGGCTGCGTGTATCGCCGCTGCTATGTTTAGGTTTCTTGACTGAAGGATTTCCAGAGCTAGCGGGGGTATATCGATCCACATGCCTTTCGTGTGGATGTCGATCGGTGGGTTGTTGTCCACGGGTACGGCGTCGAGGATGCGCCCTCGTTTGTCGATTTTGAAGAAGCCGTAGACCACGGCGTGGATGAGGATGGAGCCGAAGTAGGCTTTACTTACGGTGGTATTGTTGCTTTTGGTATTGGTTTGTGAAGTAGGGGTTGAGTCTGAGGATGAGGTGGATGTGGGTGTGGGTGTGGTGGAGGAAGAAAGCAGACGGATGTTCTCCGTCTCGATGGGGTCGATATCAGTGTAATCGCGTTGCTGGGTCGTATAGTCGACGTGGACACGGGAGACACGGGCGAAGTACATCGTTGTGTTTAGTTCGTGCACGAGATATGTCTGCCCCTGGTGGAGGAAGATGCCCCCCTCGTAGATGGTGAAGAAGGCGCGGGAGGCTTCTACTTCTTCAAGGACGGCGTTGCGGGCGTTCGTGGTGTCTATGACGGCGAAGTGCTGGTCCTCGGTATCGCGGATGGCGATGGATCGGGATGGAGAGGGGAGGAAGCGCGGGTGGGTGTGGTAGAGGGAGGGGATGTGTTTATCTTGGAGGAGGCGGGTTTCCAGGAGGGAAGGGAGCTGAGGACCGAAGTAGGTTTCGTCGAGTGCAAGGGAGAGGGGTTTTTCGTAAGCCGCGCATTGGAGATGGGCTTCGAGGATGAGATCATTCGACAGGTCGATTTGCAGCTCTGTGTTTGGTTTCGTGAACAGTTCGTCCGGGTTACGCATGTAATGCTGGTCTGTGGCGTAGCGGTCACCGACGAGGATAGACAGGGAGTCCTTGTTACGTCGGCCGGCGCGGCCGCTCTGTTGGCGGAGATTGGAGATGGAGTAGGGAAAGCCCAGGGTGATGACTGCGTCGAGGGAGCCGATATCGACGCCTAGCTCTAGGGCATTGGTGGCTACGATGCCGAGGAGACGGCCCTCGAACATGTCTTTCTCGATATTGCGGCGGTCTTGCGGGCTGTAGCCGCCGCGGTAGCCCATGACCATGTTGGCGATTTCGGGACGCTCAAGAGAGGTGAGTTCGGTGCGGACGGCTTGGAGAAGGACTTCGCAGAGCTTGCGGATGCGGCAGAACGCGATGACACGGGCGCCGCGCAGGATGAGTTGGGAGAAGAGGCGGGCTGTTTCGGTGACGCTGTCGGCGCGGCCGGAAGAGGGGTCGTTGGGGTCTTTGTAGGGGGTGTTCCAGCAGAGGAATTCCTTGCGGCCGGAGGGGGAGCCGTCGGAGTCGATGAGATGGATGGAGTTGGGGTCAACACCGAAGATGGCGTGCATGTGTTGGGAAGGGTTAGCGACGGTGGCGGAGCAGGAAATGAACTGGACGGTGTGGTTGCCGACGGCGGCACAGATGCGGCGGAGACGACGCATGATGAAGGCGACGTGGGTGCCGAAGAGGCCGTTGTAAACGTGGAGTTCGTCGACAACGACGAATTTGAGGTTCTGGAGGAAGGTCCGCCAGGCGGCTTCTTGGGGGAGAATGGTAATGTGTAGCATGTCGGGGTTGGTGAAGATGATGCGGGCTTCGTCGCGGATGAGGTTGCGGCTGGGCATTGGAGTGTCGCCGTCGAAGGTCTCGACTAGGGTGCCTTGTAGGCCGTCCATGAATTGGAGGAGTTCTTGCATGCTGCGGCGTTGGTCTTGTGCTAGGGCTTTGGTTGGGAAGATGTATAGGCCGCGGCTGGAGGGGTCCTTTTCGAGTTCGTGCAGCATGGGGACTTGGTAGATGAGGGATTTGCCGGAGCTGGTGGAGGTGGATACGATGACGTGGTGGCCGGCTTGGAGGTGGTTGATGGCTTCTGCTTGGTGGGAGTAGAACTGTGTGATGTTTTTGGTGTTGTATAGGGCGTTCACTAGGTTCTGAGAGAGTGGGAAGGTGAGTTCGCCGTAGATGGCTGGCTGGGGGTCGAAGACTCGGTGTCCTTCGGGCACGATCTGCGCTGTGTACCAGTCCATTTGGCGGATCTCCTCCACGATCTCTGACATAGATTTACGTTCTTTGGGGATTTGTTGTGGGAGAGTGGAGGGTGCAGTGATGGGGGTATCTTCCTCTGGCGGCTGAGGAATCCAGGCGTTCTTTTCCGTCTCCAATTTCTCGACTGGGTCGACGGCTTCGTCTTCGCACTGGACGAGAAAGGCATCGATTGCATCCGTGAACTTCTTGTTTCGCTTCTCGATCAAGTCTAGCATCTGCTTCTGGCTATATACCGGCATCTTCAGATCCTCGTTCTTCATGCGCCGCACGGGCTTGGTTGGCTCCCCGGTCTGCGGATGCCTCACTTGTCTCTTCAGATCTCCGTCCAGCAGCTCGAAGAGGAGCGTCTTTGTTGTGGGCATGCCCGCATCACCGGGTGTATCCCTTCCAAGGCCTATTTGTGCTGTTTCGCGCTCTCCAGTCGTCATGACCTCCAGCTTGGCTTCATCGACATACTCGAAGCGCACCGCGCGTGGCACGAGGACTTTCACCCGCGCAACATCCTCCACTGTCAGTTCTTGACCTTGCATTTGCGCCTGCACCGCATTCTTAATGTTGTCGAACGTGGTGGCAAAGTGCTTTCGCGTGCAGCAGAAGGTATACACGAGATTCAGGGCGCGGTGTGTCCGGGAGAGGCTCTTGAACGCCTCGGGCCACGGGGCGGACGGAGTTCGCTTCGGTTGAGCGGGTTTGCGTTTTCCTTTGCGAGATTTCTCTGCGGTTGAGCTGGCACTGGCACTGTCTTCCGTCTCCGGCGTCTTTACCAGTGACTTCGAAGGGGGCTGGCGGCGTTGCCTTTTCTTTGGCGCTAGGTCTGTCGACGCGCTGTTGGATATGGGGTCGGGATGCTCGGAGGCATCGTGGTTTGGATCTGGCTCATCTTGGGCTCGTTTCCGACCCAATGATATATCTTCAGTGTCTGCTTGTGCTTCCGAGCCGGCCATAACGACACCCCATTGTGGATGCAGTGGATTCGCGTTCTGATATAGTCGGAGTGAAGCAGGTTTCGGCTGCGCAGAAACGCGATGTCACGTGCAACCAATATTACCCAAAAGAGACGTCGGCCGATATAGTCATTCACTTGTAGTACACAACAAGGCTAGTCGGACATTGTTAGTCAGGAATACTGGCCGGATGGCGCAATGGTAGCGCGTTTGTTTTCGGCACAAAAGGTTGCGCGTTCGAATCGCGTTCCGGTCGGATCTTCTTTTGCTTGCGGATTATTTTTTTGTTATTGCTTTTGGAGGGTGGGATTAATCCCCGAAAGATAATCTTGCAATGTGAACGTCATTATTGATGTGGCCATTGTTGATGTGTGACCGTTCTATTGAGTATGAATCTTTGAGATGCCACCACATCCGAGCGCATGGTTTGATTTGCATGGGGACCAGTTATGGGCATCTGGACTGTCAATTATTCAACACGGCGACTAGCTTACTGTTTCTCTAATCAGAATCCTACAGGTGAGACAGCGAACTACGGTTCCTCGTACTGGAGCTCTGATCAAGTGTCAAGTGTCAGTTGGGCGTGTCTCTGTTTCAGTTACAGTTGGGGAATGGTTCGCGCGCGCTAATAATAACCCGTTTAGGGCTGTCAGGCGGCGATCATAACAGGTCTGTTATGCGGAATCCGGGGAAAAAAGGGTCCTGTTCTTGAGACCCTGAATGCTCATCACCTTCATCATCAGCCTCCTACTCGTCCATCGTCTATCCAGATAACTTGCTCTGGTCCGGCCATCCCTCAGAACCGCATCCAACCCAACCACGACGCTCCTTTGTCCCAAATATAGCATCCCAACAGCTTGTCTTCGTTTTCGCCCAAAATGTCGCTCTTGGCCAGGCGTGCCAAGGGTCTCTGCCTCCCTTGGCGTCTCAGTCCGACCCCCTGAAAAATTCCACCATTGATCCCATCATGGCTGCCTGGTCGCTTCTATCACTTCGGCTGCTTCTCCTGTCTGTCTGGTTGTACTCTCCAACATAGCTAGATGGTCATCCGTCAGACACCCATTTCACCATGCGCAGTCACCACATAACCGCCTTCCTGCTGCTCCTGTTACACAGTCAACGGGCATATTCCGACCTGGGTATACAAGTCAACGATGCCAGTATGCCATTACCTACACCAATCCCTCAACTACATGTCCATCTCTAATCATCATGTCAATAGACTCCCTCGCAAACGCCGGCTCCACCATCGCCGATCCCTTGATGGAATTCTACAAACAGAACCAAACCGAAGGCATCCCCGGCAAGCTCACCGACACCTGGTACATTGCGGGGGCCATGTTCATGACCTTGATTCAATTCTGGAAGGCCTCAGGCGTCGACACCTACAATTCCGTCGTGCAGCATGACCTGATGTTCCAAGCCGGCGAGAACTACGACTATTTCTCCTCCAACTACAGTCAATGGCTGGTACATACCCTCCCCCCTCCAACGTCACCTGGTTCTTAGCTAGCATTTCGACTAATGACATATCTATGTCTACAGGGCAACGACGACCAAATGTTCTGGGGCCTCGCCGCCATCACCGCCTCCGAAACCGGCTTCCCCGAAGTCTCCGGCAAACCCTCATGGACGTCTCTCGCGCGCGCCGTCTTTAACATGCAAGTCAACCGCTGGGACGACACCACCTGTGACGGCGGCATGCGCTGGCAGATCTGGCCCTACCAGGCGGGATACACGATGAAGAACGCCATCTCGAACGGGGGTCTCTTCGAGCTCTCTGCCCGACTCGCCCGGTTCACCAAGAACGATACGTATGCCGAGTGGGCAGAGAAGATCTTCGACTGGTCGACGACGACACCGCTCTTGAACACGAATGCAACGATATGGAACGTGGCGGATAGTACCTCAAACGAAGCCAACTGCAAGGACGTGGGAAATAACCAATGGACTTACAATTACGGGACGTATCTGTCCGGTGCGGCGTTCATGTATAACTACGTATGTTCCTCCCCCCAACACGTCCCTTCCAATCAGAATCCCAGCTAACAAAGAAAATGAAATAGACAAATGGCTCCACCAAATGGGAGGAAAGGGTAAACAACCTCCTCACCTCCCTAACCACCAAATTCTTCCCCGAGAACTTCAACAATGGCACCGTCCTCTCCGAAGTAACCTGTGAACCGATCCTGTCCTGCGACCGCAACCAACTCGGCTTCAAGGGGTACGTGGCAATGTGGCTTGCCTTTACGGCGCTACTCGTCCCCTCGACCCACGACCTCATCCTCCCCAAACTGCAAGGCTCCGCGGCAGCCATCTCAAAGCAGTGTTCGGGGACCGGCGACGGATTGGAGAACCTGTGCGGCGTGCGCTGGCACCAGGATACCTGGGATGGAAGTATGGGACTAGAAGTACAGATGAGTGCGTTGGGCGGAGTGACGGGGGCGTTGATGATGTTGGGGGATGGTAGTTCCGGACCGCAGACGATCGATGAGAATCCGGATGCGGCGGAACATCATATTGATACGAGTGAAGATGAGAAGGACCCGACGGCGAAGGAGAAGATTGATACGGGGGATAGAGCTGGAGCGTGGATTCTGACGGTGGTGCTGGCGGGGTTGATGTTGGGGGCTGTGGGATGGTTGGTGAAGGCGCAGTGATTACCCCCTTCTTCTATTCTTATTCTTGTTCACTTCTTTTCTTCTGAATCATTAGGGTATATTTGATTATGGGTTTGTGTATATGGGTTATGGACATATTGATCGTTTGCCGAGGTATGTACTGCTGCTGGACAGACAGACAGTGGATTTCAAGTCTTCTTTTATTCCTTTCTCTCCATTTTGACCACTTACTCTATCAGAGCTTCTCTTCTCACAGATATCACTTATCTCACTTATCGCAGAGCGATAGTTAGCGCATATACATCATCTACCAAATGTCAATATACAGTATCAATACTCAAAGAATGTCCCTACTACAAAGTACTAGGCATAGTAACATCAAGTAAACATAGATAACAAAACACCGCATGCAGTTTCAACTATAGCAAGCAGATAGTCCCCATCAGATTTAATATCAGTAACGTACTAGAAGGATAGGCAGCAAGCAGTGATGTGAGCTATCATCCAACATGACACATCGAATCGACAAGTAAGTAGCAAGCACTAAATGACTCGTACCTGCTGCCTTAAATGCATACACGCGCATGCATGTAAGCAGACATCCCACCTGATCAACTCTGCATGATAGCATCTCATCTGATCTGATCGCGATAAGATTAGCTGCTAGCTTACTTCCTTAGTTAGTAAGTAGCTTCTTGTGAAATGTCGATCAAGAACTAGGTAGGCTAGATCAGTCTATACGGTGGGTCTACTATGTATCTATCTGCTTCTACTTCTCTCTACCAGCGTCATCTTCAAATACAGCATACAGCATACAACTTGGTACTTGATAAATACCTCCTAAACCAAAGAAAACATACACGAAGAGAATGTGTGTATACTAAAAAAAATAAATGAAATAAACAAAAGAAAGTAAAAGTAAAGTCAAATAAATAGGTGATGGTAATTCCCCAATCCACGCAAGACAAGACAACCCCGGTTCTTGACTCCTCGGCCCAAATGCAAAATGCCAACCCACTCGGTTAATTTTCTTTCCTATGTAGATAATGTAGTAGTTCCTAGATTCCAGTCCAACGATGGGACTAGCACTGGTTGTATTGGTGGTGGTGGTGGTAGTCGTAGTAAATTACTGTCGCTTTTTGAAGGTATCCAATAGACACAATTGTGTGTGCTGCAACTATTGCATGATCACTGGTATTCCTGGAGGTCGCGAACAACGCGGTATAGCTCTTTGGCGAGGTCTTCGCTTCCGGTCTACGGGCGTCAGTCTTACGTAAATATAGAAGCAGAAAAGGGGTTACTTACTCTGAGCAAGATCGGAACGGAGCGGCCATTCTCCAAACTGGCTAGGTTGATCTGCTTCGACTTGGGCTCCTTGCCCTGTCCATCACCAACCGTCATTCCCTTGAAGATGGGCGTGTTCAACATCACGCGCAGCACGCCGTCTGCGCGCATGATCATGCGAGCTGCCTTCTTGTCCTCTACTCCGTCCGTGACGCGGACGTTGACCTTGAAGGTCCCAATGCCGCGCTCTCTCCACTCTTTGTTCGTGAAATGGAACAGCTTGGCTTTACATGAGAAGTATGTCTTCTCGTTTTCCTCACCAGTCTCGACTGCGCCTTCGTTAGCTTAACCGAATGAATCAACGACTGATAGACCACTTACTCGGACGTTCGTAGAATCTCTCGTCCGTCTTATCTTGCTCGAACTCTCCCGGGCCGCTGTCACCCGCTTGTTCTTCGTCGTCCTCCTTTTCTTCATCCTCTTCAGGGGCCCCGAAAGCAGACGTCTTGGAGCCGCCTAGAACGCTGGGAGCACTAGGGGAAGCAAAGCTCGTAAGTCCACCCGCGGGCTTGGCCGCCGCAAAGCCACCGCTGAACCCGGAGAAACCAGACCCGAGTGCAGCGAATCCCGATGTACCGGCTGCAGAAGCAAATCCAGTAGCAGCTGGCTGAGGAGAGTCCGTCGATGCCGGAGATTTGAAGACTGAGGGTGTGGAGCTTCCGAGGGAGCCAAAGGGTGATTGTTCGGAGCTGGCGAACGCAGCCAGACTTGACGCAGCAAAAGCAGATGATGATGTGGCAGCAGCAGGTTTCGATGCCTCCTCTTCCTTGGCCTTCGCACCGATTGACCCGAATGGCGAAACCGACGATGTGTTCGCAAACGCACTGGTAATGGGAGCCTGTCGAGCGCCGCAGCGCATCAGTTTCTGTACTCAGCCATACCATACCTTGATGGCACTTACCGATTCCTTCTCTCGCGCATCATCCGTGTGTCTCTTCTTCTCGGGCTGTCCTTCCACTTCAGACTTCTCCGTCGACGCCTCCTCCGCGGCATTCTGGTCTGCTTTCTCGCCCGAAGCACCGACCGTTGGCTCGTCCTTATCCAACTGGTCTCTGCTTCTCTTCTTCTTCGGAACCGCAATATCCCGTGTCACTTCCTCCCCCTTCTGTGGCTGCGATGGAACTTCCACATCTACATCCGCATTCGCATTCTCCTCCTCACTGTTCGAGTCGCGCGACCGCTTGCGACGGTGGCCTGCATCGTCTTCGTTCTTCTCGGGCTCATCCTCGTCGAATGATCGCTTCCTGCCTCTGCTGCTGGCCCTGCTGGAACTTCCTTCCTGCGCACTGCCAGTCATGTTGGCGTCGCCGTCCGTCGAAGTCTTGGGTGCCGAGGTAATCGAGGTCTCTTTTAACTTGTGGCGGACGGGGCGCTCACCGCCGTCGTTGTCGGATGCTTGCGAGTCGTCTGCAGCTGTAGGAGTAGTCAGCGGTTAGCTATCAGCACAGCACACACATGACTCGCAAAACCAAAGATAACGTAACATACCTTGACGCTCCAGCACTTCCTTCTTCGTCTCAACCACTATCCCCACTGGTCAGTACAGTCTGCTCGTCTAGGACCCTCCGCGACCGCAAATGACGAAAATTTCAGATCAAGAGGTAAATGATATGTACCTTCAACCCCACCATTCCGCTCAGGATCCGCAGCCATGGTAATATGAATGGGACAAATTCACAACGCTTGCCGATGATAATGATGTATCCGCGATACGACCGAAAAGGGAAAACGGAGCAAGAAAACTGTGCGTGCTCACGCCGAGGACATGCGTTCTAGGCAAGCGATAAAGCAAAAGAACCGGGTCGAGTGTATCCGATAAATGAACTCTGTAGCATGACGTAAACAGACGAGGTTAGCCCATTGAAGCGAGCATAAGCAGCTGCATAGGGAGGCAAGCTCTCTCGCGATAGAAGAAAGACAGGTCAGGTCGGTTGGGTGGCCGGCCCGCGGACGCAATGCGAGGTTGCTTGCAGGACCATGCGATGTGCTCAGATGGGGAGGGGTGATCCAGAAGATCTACTGGGGACAGTACGAACAGAGATAAATCGATATCGTACACGTTGAATGGGAGTCAGTCTGGTCGGACAAGCCCGCACTGATAGATAGCTAGCAATCAAGCAAGCAATCAAGCACTGAGGCTGAGGGGAACGTCAGAGTCGGACGGAGGAACGGGGGGGGTCGGGCAGGACGAACTGCAGAGAGAGTCTGGACAGAGGGAACAGATAGGTATCTGTATCGTAGATCCTTCTGTCTTCCTTTTTTTCGTATTCGCAAGGGAAAAGAGGGGATTAGAAAAGGTGAGGGCGGCGTTTGGGGAACCCACGAAGTCGGAGGAACAGACGCAAGCGGGTGACGGAGTGCTTTGTTGTCTCGCTCGGGCGGACAAGCTCGGTTTGCTGGTCGCTCCGGTCACCGCTCGCTCTCCACCCCGCAGCTACAAAGTACAATCATATGGGATAGTTATTGGAACAGTGTTCTATTGCTCTGAACATACAAATCGCAAATGGGAAATCATCCGGAATTGATACAACATAGAAATCCACGCTGACTGACTGACTGACTCCTCCGTCATCATCCTGATCTTGCACCTCCAGCTTGTCTCAAGCCACACCCTCACCCACCGATACCATGCCTACGACATCGGCTCCTTCCCATCAATCCATTCTAACTGATAAAGCAGAGACACCCGATCGCAAAATAAAACACGAACAGCGGGTATACCGCAATGCCGACCCGGTTGCGCAACACGCCCGAACCACCCAGGATACTCACGCCCGCCGCCAGCGACCACGCAATCAGCACTAGATACACCGGTATGCGCGCAATAGTCGGAAGGCCAAAGGCACTCAATAGAGAGGCAATGACCAGAGGGAAGAGCGTGTATCCGATAATACAAACCGACTGGAAGAACGAGCTATCGGAAGAAAACATTAGCAATTGCCCTTCATCCACCAATCTGGGGAAAGAACATACATATTCCCACCAAGCAACTTAATCTGCAACGTCACGACCGCCTCCCCAATCCACACGATGGAGAAAACGCCCGAGAACACCAGCGACGACTGCTCATCCTTGGCGCGCATCGACAAGAACATACTCAGCAGGAGGCAAAAGATCAAGGGACCCCTAGAAGCACCCGTTAGCACATCCCAGGCACACCCAACAGTAGATGTAAAAGAAACTCACCAAAGATCCCAATCTCTCAACCCCTCACTCATCCCACCCTGCAACACAACATCGGCATCCGGCCAGCGTCCTACCATGTTCCTCAATCCACCCCCAAAGCCCGTAGCCTCACCTCTCTCCGCGGCACCAATTCCACCCCCACCGCGCTGCAACATGCCCCCAATGAGATATTTAGGCCACAACACCTGGCGCATCTTCTCCCAGACGGCCCGCAAGTCGCGCGACAGCGTCTCCCATACCGTCTCGTCGATGGTGCTCTGTGTCGCGCGGCGGTCTTCGCCGCCGATCGTGGACGTCAGGTAATTGCTGGAGAAGTTGCTTCCGCCGCCGCGAGCGGAGCTCGAGGCTTCGGGCTGGATGTTTCCACGGAGGGGGGCGGTATCGGAGGTGTCATGGAGGGGGTCGTCGGCTTCGATGGCTGCGATTTTAGACACATCATGTTAGTAAAGATGTTTGTATAGGTACATGGGGGGTATGGGAGGGATCGGAAACAAAGGGAAGGTAGCTAGCTAGCTAGGTAGGTAGGTAGTTCACATACCGTCATCAGCTTCAATCACATCGTCGTCGAGGATCGATTCATCGTCGCGGATGTCCCCATGGGTGTAGTGTGGTTGTACGCTGGCCATGGTGTTTGTCCTCTGGGTTGTTTCGTTGGTTGGGTTTGGGTGTCGCGGAAGTAGTACTGATAGGTCACTGGGACATTGCCCGCTCCGGCTGACGTGGACTGCTTAGTGGATTGCACTGGGCTGGACAGACCGGCTGTACCCAGAGAATATAGGATGGTAATCGCAAAGCGAGGTAAGGTACGAGGAACTTAGCAATGGAACTCGGATTTGGAGAAAGCTGGGCTGGCACGAGCAGAGCAGCCCGTGTCGGAGAGGCTAGAGTGGCATTCCTTACGTACGCAAGCACGGGCTGAATCCGGCAGGCGGAAGAGCCCATCTGAAACATCAATTAACTGTCGATCGACATATCTATAACTAAACAATGGATTGTTTTAAATGAATATATGCCCAAAAGATGATGAGTACTATGTTCATGTTCCAAGAGTATTATACATATAGTCCTCCCCTTCAAAATGTGCTATGATACATCGACTTTTCTATAACGCCCGATTATGCTATACTTTGTACTGAATAAGAGTGGAGACCACGCAACATGGCGTTAGATAGATCCACTTGGATGAAGCAAAAGGATCCGAATGGCCCTCGGCTGATAGGACTGGACTGGATCAATAAGTAGGAACTCATGGGCTGGGTAATTCTCGCTCTGCGAATCTGTTCATTTGCTCCTCGGTCGCTCCGACCAAGGTTTTCCGGAACTTCGTTATAATGCTCTTGTCGGAGTATTTCTTCAGAAGCTCGGCGTGGCGCTGGACCTCTTTGAAGGTCTCCGGGGGAACATGTTGCTTGAATTCTTTGACCGAGTCAAATAACCTTCGCGTCATGGTAAGTGCCTTGAGGGCATCTTCTCCTCTGATCACAGCCGCCGGATTGGTCTTCGCCACCCGGGCCAGGTAGAATTGTCGAGACTTCTGCCCCAATAGTTCACTGGACACGGCTTCATCGAGGTCCCGAATCAGGGGACAGAGCCGTTCTGCGGCGGATGTGATTAGGCTGGCCTTCAGTTTCACGCCTAGGGCGCTGAGATTGTCTGATTTGGCGTCTGCTCCCGACTCAAGGCCAGCGAGGGACATTAGTAGATCTGGACTATCCTCCAGCGAATGGACCAAGTCGAGATATTGGGTTATGGACCGAGCATCGGGAAGCACGATGCCGTTGGCCATGAGATCCAGAAGCTCGTTGGCGTGTCTGAACACGTTGGGGTTTCTGCGGTCCCGAGTACATGAGGCCATGGATATGCGGAAGGTCTTTCCTTCGGTAGGTCCGTTGGGGTCCCGAGTCATATCGCGTACCACCTCCACGGTTTCACGACTAGCCCGCGCAGCACGTAGAATGCGTAGGTATGCGTGATAGCTAACCGCGTCAGGTACGACCTTATGCGAGTCATCTCCTTTCGCAAGGTACCGCCAGTATTCCTTTGCAGCGGCTGTCCCTTGTGTTATCGACAGGCAGGCTTTGAGAAGCATAGTGAGCTCCCTGTTTCCCACCTCAATATACGAGGGGAGGGCCGCTTCATCTTTCACAGAGAGCCTTGTCTTCGCGGGCGGTTTCACTGTGTCAACAACAGGGTCGAAAAGATGATCGAAATCCTCTTCGGCCTCCACATCCTTCATATCCTCGGGTTCGATATCAGGTAATCTGTCTCCCTCGTCGACAAACGGGATATCGTCTTCCAAATCCGCATCCTTGTGCGGGGAAAACACCCGCGATTTCTCCGAAGTTGGCTCTATCCTTTGCTTCGGGGGCTCCTCGGCGAAGATTGGAATACCAGCGGTTTGATTATACAATGCGAACACGCACCACACATCGTGGTCACAGCTTGAGTTCTCCTGCAACATGTGGGCCATGGCGTGAGCCAGATAATTGTCCATGGGCACCCGGCCCTTCTTCCATTGGTAAACAATGTCAGCCCAGACCCGTTTGGCTTCCTGGATACCCTGAGCTCTCCTTTGCAGAAGCGGCTCAACTTCAACCTGTTTTCTTTCCGCCGTCTTGATATTTCCCTTATACAACTCCGACGTTTCGGCCCTCGTACTACCTGCGATAGCCCCTAATAGCGTGGTGTAGGTCAATAGGTCCGGGGCTAGCTTGCCGGACTCCGGCAGTGCACCAGCAACCTCCCATAGAACTTCCATATCTCGGTGCCACCAGCAGACCTTAAGCATTGCATTGGCGTGGATGATATGGGGTTCGACGACGGAAGTCTCAGCGTAGAGCGACATGTAGATTTTCGAGGCCAATTTCACCGGCTTGAAGCCTCTAATGTCGAAGTCCTGGCAGAGACCGTTCAGGAAAACAGTGTAAGATCTCGAGTTAAGTTCGATACCTCGCTTTTTCATCTGTTACATTTCAAATGAGCATTTGGTCAGCCATGGATCGATAATCCAGAAACAACAATAACGAAGAAAAAAAAAAGGGAGAAAAAAGGAACATACATCATTCCAAGCTCTGAACGCAAGCTCCGGCTCCTTCTCACGCAATAGATACTCCAACAGCCGATTAAAAGCCGCAGTGCACCTGAACCCTTTGCTCTGGGCCTTATAAACAAGCGACACACCAAGCGCCAGGTGCCCATCTGCCAGACAACGCCGGACGCGCTCGGCCAGCGCCAATGGGTCACGCAGCCATTTCAACTCCGCATTCACCACAGAGAGAGGAACGAAGTACGTCTGCGGCACCCATTCCCTCCGAACAAGCCGACGCAGTAGCGTCCGTTTATCAAGCACTTCTTCTGTGGTGGAACCAGACTCAGGAGACTTTTGTTTTCCATCAGAGTCTGCAGGCTGACTCTCCCTTTCTTCCTCCTCCTTCTCACGAGGTGCACTCTCCTCCTTAAAGGTGATATCGGGTGGGCCCTCCGCGGCCACAGCCTCGTGCATTTGCCTTGCGTGCAGAGTCCCAATCCGCGCAGAGTGTCTCCATGGTATCCCTATACGAGGTCCAGATTCCGCAATGTGAAAGAAAGATCGGCTCGGGGTAGTCCGGAGCCATTGTGTGCGGAGAAGTGGTCTCATTGCCACGCTTCCGGACCGGAGAGCGGTGGCATTGCCGCAACGAAGCATCTAAGGCGGGGAACGAAGGACACGCTGTTCGATTCGTAGTGTAAGATCCAACTTCCTTTATAGAAGAAATAGAAAAGGCAAGAGGTATATTCCAACCCGATTGCCACTAGGTATCGTGGGAGGGTAAGGCGCGTAAACCGTAGGAAACTCGGAAGTCGGCGAAGAGAATTCTGGAGGGAGAGGCAACGGCGCAGACGAAACAACCAACCAAGGGAATATCAAATGCAGATGAATGTAGAAAAATATAGAAATTAATAGAGCCAAACCACCACCTCTACTGCAGCCAAGCAGGAATAAAGGAGGATGCGATAGAGAAGCAAAGCACCAAATCCAGCCCAAAGCGAGCGTCGACCTCCGAACAATCGCAAACTCCGCCGTATCGCATATCTGCCCGCTAGGACCGATAAGGTTAGTGCAGGCTATCCCCCAAATGCAGCAAATAACTCCGCTCCGACAGACGCAGTCTGCCTCAGGCATCAACACCGCGAATACGGCCATCGTTTTGCGCATAACCGCCGCAAGCCTCAGGCACATGCAGGACTAAAGTATGCACGCATCCATGACTAGACCAACGCCTTTTCCGACGTACTAGCTCAGCTAGCAACGTAGCTCAGAAGCTAGCTAGTCAGCCTATATTACCGACAGAACGGTCAGCCTTACACCGCTAGAAATTTAGATCCCTTGCGGCCTGAGCTTAGGCATCCATGAAGGAGGGGGAGGATAGCGGAGGAGGAGGAGGAGGAGGAGGAGGAGGAGGCTATTTCGCGGCGGGCATGCAGCAGTCCCTGCCTTGCCCCCCCCCCCCCCCCCCCCCCCCCCCCCCCCCCCCCCCCCCCCCCCCCCCACACCCACACCCCCCAAAAACGGCCGCTAAGGCGGCCAGGAACCAACAAGACTAGTAACCTAACCTAAAGCTGGTCTGGGGTTCAGGTACAGCCTAGTCTTAGTGTCCAGGAGGGTTACAGGTACCAGGTACTACGCTGGTACGGTGTACTCACTAGTAAATTTGCCGGGGAAGCCCGCGACTAGTTCAACCAGAACCAAAGTTATCCTCTCTCTCTCTCTTTGCCTTCGCCCTGTCAGGTAAGTGGTAAGAGTACAAAGTAGGTACTCGGATCTCGCCTAAGGCCTAGAATAGATAGCTCCAACTTTACTTCCTACTCACCCTCCTCCCCGTGGTATGTATGTTTGATAACTTTAATCACTACCGAAGTATGCGTCGAAGGTTCCATGCCTGCTGATCCATTACCACCACAGGTTGATAGTTTAGAGGAAGTATTCATGGACGGACCTACTACTGATTGAATCTCACCGATATTGCATGATTTCTGAAAGCCCTTCACGCAGACTTTGTTAGTCACTTTCCGCGGCAATAGTCACTCCACTAGTCGGCTTATTGCCACCGTGCGTGATGCACGCTCGTCTATTAAAGTTAACGGATTGCTATTCATCCCAAAAGATCTACCACATGCGAGTCAATATACAGAAAGAGGCCTGGAGGCCCTCTGCCGAGTCAGAACCGCTAATGCACGATCTGCATTTGCAGATTGTCCGGCCGTCGAAGCAATGCCCACGTTTTCCGGGAATTACAAGAATAGTTTCATCGATCATGCAGGGGCATGGAGCTATGCGCCCTTCTTCTCCGTCCATGTCAGTGCCCTTTCGCTACCCCCGATTCAGTCGAATTGCAGGCGTAGTTGCATACAAGTATCCACAGAACAGTCGAACCATTGTCATTTCACTCAAGTAATTTACCCACTATCTTCCCACCTGCAGCCACGAGACAGGCAGCGTTCGCCTTCCAATCGGTCTCGCAGCCACATTGGTGGTCCACTCGAAGATAGAGGGCGGGAGAAAGGAAAAGAACCATGTGCATCAGAATCCGAAGACTTCCGCCACCCGACCACAGACCCTGAACGGTCTGCGGAGCAAAAGAACATGGACAAGAATATTGCACAATTTCGGGGACCAAAAACCCAGGGTAACATAATTTGGTCGGAACACATCAGCAAGAGAGAAAAGGACGCGGACACAGTCAAGAAGAATCACAGAAGAGGAAGATCACAAGAATCATAGCAGTAAGCCACGTACAACACAGGAGAGCGTTTAGTAGATAAAACAGTTGCCGCATAATTCACAGGAAAATGTAGAAAAGCTAGTTAATGCAGACGGTCCCGCCAAATGTCCCAAGTCGTAATCCCTTGGCCGGTAATGGCGTAGGGAAGAAAAAGCAAAAGACAACAACCCCCCTCGATTATCCTTTTTTCCCCATGCGATCTAATTCAAAAAAACATAACTGGGACAAAGTGTAAGTCGCAAGGCCACTCTTTTGACTGGAGCAATCAAGGCCAGAAAATTGGTATCATGTGCGCAGGAACTTAGAGAATTAGATCCGGGGATGGCGATACGGGATTAGGAGATATTGTATTAGAACATGCAACCTGAAAGAAGTAAGGGAAGCTGGGCATCTATTGCGGGTAGCTGGTCGATTGGTTTTCTGCGAAGCCGTCATCGATCAGCTACAGACCTTATAGCAATAGATCCGAAGACCTCCTTCTCAACTTTTCTTGAGCTTTTGCAGCCGGGTATGGTGGTCGTGTGTCCCTTTTTGTTTCTTCTTTTCTTTTTTGGGGGTGGTTTCTTTCATGTCGCATGCGAGACTTGCTCATGACCCGGTGCCGAGAAGGCAAACATAACAAAGGACTGACTACTTACGTGGCTGGTACACTTGACCGGTCTGTCCATAAGGGGAGTGAGGGTAGTTTGGCGGGTATGCCATCTGCCCATTGCCCTGATACACCATACCTCCGGCTCCAGCTCCGTACTGCCCCGGTACCTGACCGTCGGCAGGTTGATATCCAATGGGAGGTAATTGAGGACGAACACCACCCGGGTAGGCAGGTGGTTGCCCAGCCTGAGCGGGATCCGCAGGATTGGGTGCGTCGACCTGGTTGGCCTGGGCAGCTTGAGCAGCGGCAGCACGCTCGCGCTCCTCAGCAGCCTTGCGCTGGGCCTCTTCCTCCTTCTTTCGAGCTTTCCACTCTTTGCGAATCTCCTTGAATTCTGTATGATGGAGGGATTAGCATGATGAGATGCAACAAATAGATGAAAAGAAGTGTGTTGGAAGGGGACAGAGTGGGTGGTTAGGATGCATGGTGGGGATGGGACAGAAGCAGCACGAGGGGATGGTCGGAACAAGTCAAGAGATAGATAGGAGCTACTGAGTCGTCGAAGACGCTTAACCTCCGCACCGGCTTGTCACGCTACTGCGATCCGCGGCGCTAAGGTAGTGTAACACGACTAGCGCGTGCCACCCGCACTAGCCCCATCCAGAGTTTCGCGACCAACAAAAACAACAGATGCGAGAGCTGGAGGATCCAACTTGCAAAAAAAGGCGCAAAGACGACCAACAAACTCACCTTCGGGTGTGCGCTTGGCGCCATGAGACTGCATCGTGACGTGGGCGTTCAGATGGTTCAGCGTACCATACGCCTTCTCACATCCGTTCCACCCACACTTGTACATCCGCTCAATCTCCTCATACCGACGACGGGGCCGCTTGTGCTGCTGCGCGCCAGGAATGGGAACAAAGGAGTATACCTAGAGAAAGCATGTGGATGAGCCTGGGATCTTTTTGTGACAAAAACAGATGAAAAAGCGCGCCGCTTCCTACGTCCCGCGAGGCAGCCTACGTAGCTAGCAAGCCCCTGACCTCACCTCGCGGGACGTCCAAGACAACAAACCAACGCAAGTGCGCAGCCCTTGGAAACAGACGCCAAAATCATCAAAAACATACCTGGCCAGGGCGCGGCCCTGCGGTCGCAGCAGGGGAGGCGGGACCAACCGTTGTGGCAGGAGTGGTATAGGGTCCAGGCAGACCGTGTTGATGTTGTCCATACCCATGCGACCATTCCGGACGCGTATACATCTGAGGCGGGGGCGGAGGGGGGTGCCCCTGGTATTGTGCCATATCGTGACCTTGGGGCTGGTAGGGAGAGTAGGGAGGAGGATAGGTGGGGCTGGATGCCGCGATTGAGGGATCTATAGGAACGGCCGCGTCAGACTTCAGGTTCGTGTGATTGCGATGGTCATGGTGCTGCCCATCACTGAGGGTGTGCATGGACGGACTTGTTGCTTGAGCCATACCTGCCGCTCCACCGGCTTGGGTGTTAGGCGCGTGGTGGTATTGAGGCGGGCGGCCGATGTACTCGTGGTAAGCAGGAGAGCGCGCGGCGGGCGGCTGATTCAGACCGTAGTCTGACTGCGGCGTGTTGGAAGACGAAATATTGGCGGCGGGGCGGACCTCGGGTTGGGGGGTGTACTGAGGAGTAGGGCGGACCTCAGTCTGAGGGGTGTATTGAGCAGTGGCAGCAGCAGAAGCCTGGTCTGCAACTGGGAGTTCAGAATGGGTCGCAGCAGACGGTGGATATGGATAATGCGAACCTGACTGCGCGTACTCCGAGGCAGGTCTGTTGTCCATATAATACAATTTTCGCCGCGAACGGGTTGAGAGATCCCTGACAATCCTCCAAAAAAGAAAGAAAACTAAACACGCGAGCCTATACAGACGCGTCGAGAGAACACAATGAGCTTGGTGATTTCACAAGAAAGGAAAATGAAAAAGAGACGTCGTAGTGGATGGAATGGGAGGGGAGAAAGAAGATTGCTTTCTAACAGCAGGAAGATCAGGATGGAGTGGTAAGATCCTCGTTCTTCTTTTCTTTTTTTTTTCTTCTCTCCCTCTTCTCTTTTTCTTGTTTCTTTTTTTTCTTGTTGGAACGTACTATTTAGTGAATTCAGGATAGAAGACCGATGTGATCAATGGAAAATTCCACAGCAGGTCCTGCACGTCCTGAAATGGGCGCGTTGTGTTGAAGGAGACGGAAAGTGAAGTGGAACAGAAAAGAAAGAACCAACGCGTGATCTGGCGCGTATGGATTTTTGGACTCTCTTTTTTTTCAATACACTGACAAAGTGTGAAAGAGAGCGCGAGCGGAAAGAGTCGCAAGAAGAAAAGAAGAAGAATAGTAGGTATAATGAGAAAAGAAAATGGTGAAGGGTAAAAAAAATAATGTATCGCAAATAAGGACCAGGGAAACCGAGACGAGGTATTTGGTCTTCGGGGGAAAAGTAGCGCTGGATCGTGATGCTTAATTGCCTTAGTCGCCTGTTAGGGTGACGGAGAATGGCCTTGCAGGTGGCGGTAAGCACGCACGACAGCACGAGGAACCCGCGGGAGGATGGAAAGGGACGGTCCTGTCTGCGCTCGGGCAAGCTTTGGGTTGGAGGGGAAAGGGAGGGGGGGGAGTGGTGAGGGTTTAGAAAGCAGCCAGGGCAGGGCCAAAATAGTCTCTTTGGCCGGGACGAACAAAAACGAGTAATAATCAAATAAGATTCCACCAGGTCAAATCCGCGATAGCGCTAAGAAAACGATGCCTCGATCTAGGTGGCAACGCAAGTAGCACAGTCACCCTAAATTCAAGACGGAGGAAAAAATGGTTCGATTACTACCCGGAAAAAGAGAGACCTGGGCAGAGGACGCGGCCTAAAAGGCTTCGGACAGAGAGAGCAAAGAGGCTTTTCGGCAGGAGGAAAACGCAAGTTAGAGAGAAGCACCTCGTGGGATCCGAGGATACGGTGGAGCGCGCGTGGGCCCCGTAATTTTTCAACTCCCTTATGGAGTAGGGAATAGTAGGTAGGAAAGAATCAAAAAAAAATATTATTATTAAAATAAGTAAAAAAAGGGAGCTTGGAGGCAAAAAAAGTAAAAGATAGTAAAAAAA